TAAAAAACACCACCAACTACTACTATTATTATAATAATAATTATAATAAGACTGTGAATCAAAGTTATAGAGAGGAAGTCCATTATGAAACACTATATACGATATTGAGCAACAGAAAATGGAACCCAACCACCTAGCAACATATACCACTTTTCCCACCTTGGTTAACTGGGATCAAGGTTTTGCTTACAATGAGGTGTACCCATTAATATAAGGTCTTTATTACATACACCGTGAGTAACAGTTGAGGAACCTCAATATTATCTGGCGATTAGATTCCGATTCTCTTCATTCTACAACTAGAAGTCGATTGCATTAAATAACATGGTGTATGCATGGACATCGACATACATACGTATGATTGTGTTACAAAACCAAAGTCTGTGTCGACTGTATTACGGTAGACCATTAAAGTTCACCTCCTAATCTTTATACAGTAGCAAAGTAAAATATAAAATCACATTACTTCTAATTGTAAACAACATAGCAAATACATGTATGTAGTTATAGAGAAAATGAAATTAAACTCTGAATGATCATATGTTAACGCTTAATATTCGCTCAATATTCCTGGCAGTAAATGTAATATATGTATATGTAAATGAATACATATAAAACACACACACACGAGATAGATAGAGATATATATATATATATATATATATATACACATATATACACATATACACACACACATATACATACACACACACATATACATATACGTTTTAGTCTCCTCTTAATCCCCTTTCCTATATATGAGATATGTACAATATATTGTCAACATGTTAATGTTTTAATTTTGTGCACACTACAATGAGGATAATAAAGTCTAAAGCTTAGAAGGCCGTATGAACAGGATTCCTGATTACTCCAATCAGTTAAAAGATAATGTACTAGCTGCTGTTGGATAATCTGCCTAAAACTCACCACACAAACTACAATCTGATTGTACAATTTCCTTTAGATCTAGCTACAACCATGTCGTACAATGGCCTGACTGACCGGCTATACATTGACTGGATAGATTAGGTAGGCCCTCATATTACAGTTTTGATTGTGAAAAATTGCATTGTCAGGGTTGTAACGTGTATGGTGACTCTTGCTGGGAAGGACCAATTGTTTATAAAGGCCCAAAAGAGCAGGTTCTCATAATGATAAAATACAGTGGCCACTTTAACCTTTCTGGTATAAGAATTTACCTGTGGCCTACCAAGCAACAACAAACCCGCCAAGAGAAGCGTTTTAATGAATTGTTATATCATTCTGCTACTAAATTCAAAGATACCACACCGGGTAGATGGTAACGATATGGTGTACTAGGCAAAAATGTGAGCTTTTTTTAACCTAGACTGATAGGTTGACAGGTCTCTAACCCACCTTGTCATAGCCTGTCATTGTTTTTTGTTTTCTTTTACGCAAACAGAATATACCAAATAAACTCCAAGATAACACTTCTAGAACTGACAACCAACATCCATGGTGCTAAAACCCATGGGCCTTGCTGGGTGGCCCTTTGCAGACCCCAGCAGTCAGTAATGGAAGCATTCATTTGAAAAGAGGTTCTATTGACAGTGATTTCTAGCAGTCTCACGTAGCATGTCCCTAGTCTATTTCCTAGAGTAAGTGTTCAGACTCTGACCACCTCTTCTTGTCTGTAGTCTTCGAAAGTCTTCTTTTAGCTGCTGAATGTTATGTATGGCCCTTTGGAGCGGTCAGAGTCTCCCACACCTGTAAGTGGACAACCACTGACCTACATAGTTGAATCTGCAGTCTCTGATTGTCTCCTCTAGTATGTCTAAAGTCTCTGACAGTCTTCTTTTGTATAAATAAATATTGTGGGTGTCCCTTTGGGGGCCACTACACCTTCCACTGTCAACCACTGACCTACACAGTGTACTCTCCAGTCTCTGATCATATCCTCTAATACGCGCGAGGTCTCCGACAGTCTTCTTTCATATCCTGAATAATAGTATGTGCAGTCCTTTGGAACTATCAGGGGCCAAGCTTGAAGTCCCCTACACCTTCCATGTTGACAACCAAAGACCTAGTCTTCATATCCCGAATATTATGTGCGGCCCTTTTTGAACTATCAGGGGCCAAGCTTGAAGTCCCCTACACGCTCCATGTTGACAGCCAAAGACCAGTCTTCTCTAGTATGTCTGCAATCTCCGATTGTCTCCTTTAGTATGTGTGAAGTCTCCGACACTCTTCTTCTTTATAATGAATATTATGTGTGGCCTTTGGGCACTATCAGGGGCCACAAGAGGCCCCCTACACCTTGCAAGTTGACAACCACTGACCTACATAATCTACTCTACACATCTATGAGCGGTTAGTAAATATATGAAAACAATGAACAGATGCAGAGCCTTCAGTTGTGCCAATTATCTGGGAACTTACGCTACAGCGATGCTATTGTTCTGCGACCACCCCCACCCCCCCAAAAAAGATGGCTACCATATGAAGGCGCTGTCATCTTGAATCCCCCAAGTTGATCCCCTCTGGTCCAATACAGGTGTATATGTAGCATCTACTCTTATTTTTCTCATGCATTCACCATATGGGGTTTGAAGAGGAAATACTCAGCCATTGCCACCATCACATCCACACTCATGAATTATTTTACCTTTGAGCAGACAGATGTCAGTCATGTCGCTGTCCTTGCGCAGAGCCTGCACCACCAGGGACACCGTGCTGTCCTCCCGCAGGCACTCGGCTCTGGGGCTCCTCTCATCATAAACGATAATGGCGGAATAGAGACCGGAGCGCAGTCGGGTCAGCACCTCCTCCTCATCTTTGCTCCCTGCCGGTAGGATCTGCTCCAGGGTCACCGAGCCCTTGGCTCTTCTCCGGACGATGGTGTTGCAGCGCACGTTCACCGATCCCTGGATGAAGCCAGCGCTGTGAGCCAAGAAAGGTCTACAGTCCAGAAGCAGGCAAGTGCCTCCGACCCCCACACCGCCGCTGCTGCTGATGTTAGCGTTATTCGTGCCCGGGCTGGAATGGTGCTTGAGGCTGCTGTCGTTACCGTTCCTGTTGGGTACGCCGTCTCTTTTCAGCAGCCTTTTCAGTACGCTGCAATCCATCTCCCTCAGCTCATCCATGATCAGCATAATAGTAGGTAGCGATGGCGGGGACAAAGATGCCTCGGTGTACCGCCGGAGATGATAGCAGGCAGCTCACTCCTGTGCTCTTCTCACTGACGTGTTGTCTGCAGCCAGCTCGGATGAGTGACACGGATCTGGTGCACGTTGTCTTACTCTCCGCCCCATAGTTGTGACGGGGAGGACGGAATGCGGCATCCCCGGCCCCCCTACAGACGTGTGCGATCTTCGGTGCTCACTATCCTTCGGCCTCTCTGTGTGCCTATAATGGATGCTGGGGGCACTGCAACTCACACTGACACCACTGTCACAGCCTGTCACAATGCCTTCCACTGACACCACTGGTGGGGCACAATGCCTTCCACTGACACCACTGGTGGGGCACAAAACCTTCTACTGACACGAATGATGGGTCTCAATGCCTTCCACTGACACCAATGATTGGGCTCAATGCCTTCCCAATGACATTGCTGATGGGGCTCAGTGCCTTCCATGCAAAACAAATGGCAAACGCACTCATCAATTCGTTACCAGCTTTACAGCAAGGTGCACACGGAAGGGCTTCAAACAGTAAAACAGCAAAAGGTTTTTTGGCACACTCACCAGCCAGCATGCAAAAAAAACCTGTCTAACCACTAAGGTTAAAAGCAGAGATACACGTCTTCTGCAGAAAATGTGAAAGCCGCACAGCCACGTCAAGGCACCTCCATATAGTGCGGTCCTAACTCTAAACTATGAGAGTCTCCATCTTGTACCTTTAAGGGAGGTTGGGCTTCCTCCTGACAAACCTGCACCCACTTAAATCTTTTGCCACATGTGCTCCAAGATGGAGACTCTCATAGTTTAGAGTTAGGACCTCACTATCTAGGAGGTGCCTTGACGTGGCTGTGCGGCTTTCACATTTTCTGCAGAAGACGTGTATCTAAACCTCCGCTTTTAACCTTAGTGGTTAGACAGGTTTTTTTGCATGCTGGCTGGTGAGTGTGCCTGGAAACCTTCTGCTATTTTTCAGTGCCTTCCATGGACACCACTGGTGGAGCACAATGCTTTCCATTGACACTACTAGTGGAGCACAATGCTTTCCAATAACACCACTGGTGGGGCTCAATGCCTTCCACTGACACCAATGATTGGGCTCAATGTCTTCCACTGGCACCATAACTCCTTTTGTCACCAATGATGGGGTCCACTGTCTTTCTCTGACAACACTGTTCATAGATCAAGCGTGTGCAGTTGCGCCAATGTGCTATGCTTGCTTGGAACTATTATTATTATTATTATACAGGATTTATATAGCTGTAGTGTTTGGAGCAATGTTTTGTGGGAGAAAATGAACATAAATTGCTTCTTCCTGTTTTGTGCTCCCACACTGCAGTAGGAGTTGTAAAGTGAAAGGTAGAATGTTTTACAGAATAAAAAAACAAACATATTTGGAACAGCATTTTGTGAAGTAGTATTACAGTCGAACTGAAGCTCAAACGGTTTTTTTTGTTGTTTTAGTTTTGGATGGAGTGAGTGAGAGCCATAACCCCTGTCAGCTTTTTTATGCCATCTGTATCTGTGACCAACTGGGGAAATTTCCCTTCACTTCCTGTCCAATAGCCACAACAGGAAGGGAGAGGAAATCCCTCCAAAGTGAGGGAAATCCTTAGCAGTCAGCAGGGTCACCAGAACTAGTGTCCCCACTGCAAGATTTCCCTGCAAGATTTTCCCACTGCAATCTATTCCTGTTCTGGTGACAACCCAAAATTGAAATTGATGCCCAAACACTTACAGTCATCATGTTTCCAAACAGTTGGCTCCAACTCTCTCTTAACTCCCCTTTCCTGAACTTCCTGTCCAGTACAAGATCACAAGGGGCAGATCAGTCTCCCAGCAGCTGTCCATCTACTTGCTTGGGGAAGGGAGGAAGGGCAGCGACTTGCCTTGCCAAGCCTGTGCGTTTGTGCAGACTAGGAATGAGCTCAGGTCCGAACCTGAGCTCCTCCAAACTCCGACATTACATGAGACTCCCAACCAATCAGCTGCAGGTCGGGCCGTTCCCCCGCCCCGCAGCTGACCACAAACAAAGGTGGATGGATGCTTGTGCTGATGCTATTTACCTTATATGGCCACATATTAGGTCAATTACATCACTGCATCTCGCCCCTTTGCTTACGTTCAGCTGCAGACGGGAATTCCTCGGTCACAGCTGATTGGGTGGCAGCAGTTCTGTGTTCAGGGTGGCTCCTTCCATGTTTGGAGGAGCTCAGGTTCAGACCCAGTTTTCCTTAGTGAAAACACACAGAGCTAACTAGCACACAGAAGTTTGGCTCCATAGGACCCTGGAAGGGAACGGAGTCACCCTAAAACATATATCAGGACCAGTGCTTAGGGGACCAGCTGATTCTGCAGGAAACAAAAACTTTTAAACATCAAGGAGCAGCCAACATCCATTGTAAGTGATTTCATCAGCATTTTGTATAGCTTAAAATCCTTTTGACTTTAGTATAACTTGAATAAAAGATATGCGTGAATCATGCATAGGGAAAATGCACAACAATACTATATAGTATATAATTGTAAACAAGCTTCCTGTGCCCACTGCTTTCATATCAGCCTGTGTATACAAGTAATAGTTCACCTGTATTCAATGGAAAGCGCAGCTGGCTTACAACGCGCCACCTAGAGGCCAGCAAGAGGAGTACAGGCAATCGCACGTCTGCCGGGATGCAGGGATGCCATAGAAGGCTCTCAGCTTTGTTGCTTTCTGTGTGTGTGTATTGTGGGGAGAGAGCTAAAGAAAGAGACGGAATAGGAAGAATGGGGGAGGGGAGAGTGGTTTACCCTTCACCCTCTCCACATCCTGTATTTCCTTACAGCGTAAACCTTGCTGCTGTCTGCTTTATTACACACAGCGGAGCTCTATGGGTTATTGCCGGCAGACAGTGGTGTTGGCACAATGAAGAGGGCACAGGTGTGCGCATATCGCAATTCTCTGTCGTCTGGGCCTGCTTTGTTTATCGCTCAGTCTGTAGTGTTATTTGTTTTTACAGACGTCAGGGAGAAGTGTGTGTCAAGGCCGTGCCTTTGTCCCGTCCATTGAATTCATGTCTTATGTGACCCTCCCTTCACAATGGCTCGTGTAGCCGTTTTAGTGAATGAAGGCGCTGGAACTGTGACGTCACGGGCAGAGCGGCCCGGTGTCTATGTATTGGAGAGCTCCCATTCATAAGAGCGGAGGGGGCGGGGACATCTGTGAATGGAGGACGAGGCTCTGCAGTAGCTTCCTGCTGTCACACGTATACTCCATCTCCCATTCACAGAATAGGAAACAAAGACACCGAAGGAGAGGCCACACAGGCTCATTGTGAACTCCACGTTCCCTTAGCGATAGTCAGGCTATCAAATTTCTTCTTCTGTCAGGAAACCGTCATTGATTGAATCCGGCACCACGTGAAGGCTAATTCCACCGTAATAATAAATGCTCCCACACTGATGAAAGGAACACATGTGCTTTTATTCGTTAATTGTTTGAACTGGAGCCTGCAAAGCATTGCAACCGAGATCGGTGAAACTGAGTCCAATGCTCTGGCACCTGCAGAGTCTTCCCCCAGCCCCAGGTCTATACCGAGCTATGGGCCTACCCTGATTGTTTTGTAGCTGGAAGCTCAAAGCTATTAAAAAAATGCACAACAACCGAAATCCTATGCGTTTAAATTGCGCCCGTCCAGGCGCCTGTAGCTCAAAAAGGTACATGAGCTACCTTTGAAGCATTTTTGGCCACTGAGCCAGCTGTCAGTCAAGCAGCTGGGCGGATCCCGGCACAATTGTCGGGATCCGCTTCAGCTGCGGCATCTCAGTATACCGCGAGCTACAGCTCGCGGTATATTGAGCCTAGGGTGATGGGAGGACGCTAGTTTGTGTCCTCCCGTTACCCTAAGGAGAACTATGGGGAAAAGCCTTAACCCCAAGGTTCTCCTTTAAGGCCAGGGCCCGCCTTAGGCGCCCTGTGCAAGAAAGCTCTACAGCGCCCCTCAGTGGCCACACCAATTTCTCCAATATCCGCACCATTCAAAGACTCACATTTTGTTAAGCCTAAAATAAACATATTAAAAAGTATGATAAAAATAAAACTTTTATTCAAAGGTATTAAACTTGTAGGCACAATATAAGTATTCTTATTAAATAAAACAATAGTAGGCAAACAAGTGATAAACTATAAATGTCAAACTAAAATAGAGTCTATAAAAGTAAAGTGTCAGGTTGTCATGCCGACCCTTTCTTCAAGTAAGTGCATCTAGAAAAGTAAAAATAAAAAAACAGAACACAAAACCTAGACTACATGTTAAATTAATGAATTACTATTTGCCCGAATATACGAAAAATATTTCAGGCACATAGTAATTTGTTTGAGAATGTGTGGTGGCCATGTTGGCCACTGGCGCGTTCTGCGAATGTGTGCCACCATCTTAGAGGAGGGGAGCATGATGTCACACACCGATGTAGGCGCCGCCATCTTGGTGTATAATTATTTATACACCAAGACGGCAGCACCCAACACGTGCGGTGTTATATGACGTCATGCACCCTGCCTCCAGAACACGCCAATGGCTGAATCCAAAATGGCATAAAAATGTATTTTGTTTGATGAAACAAATGAAAACGTTTTTAGTTTTCGTTCATTTCATCTTAAATACATTTTTAGTCGTTGCACATGTCTAATAATATGTGTATGTGCGGGGTAATTTTCACTTTTTTAAAATAATTTTTTACATTTTTTATTTATTTTATTTATTTTTTGACTGTTCAGGGGGCTTTGGGGAAATATTAGAGGTCTAAACAGACCCCTGAATTTTCCCTTTTTAAAATAGACAAGAAACTGAGGACACAGAGTCCTCAATTTCTTTTTCTGCAGCCCCAGCACTCAATGAATGGGAAGCACTCAGTACAGAGGCTTCTCATTCATTCAGATCCTGATGATAGTAAAATATTTTACCACACAGAGGATCAGTAAATATCACTGATATTTACTGATCCTCTGCTCGGCTACGCACACAGCC